ACGGTCAAGGCGATCGAAGCCTTCAATAAGACAACGACGACCACGACGACGGCCAAGACACCGACCGACGACGGCGCCGAGTACCGAGAAACCGCCCGTCGTGGCCGAGGTGCCCAAAAACGATGGTGCCACCGGTCGCACTCAAGATGGAGGGCCGACTGCTGTGGGGGACTCGTGCTGCTGGGCTACTTGCTAGTCTTGCTCAGTCTCTGGCGGCTCGGGAGCCTCCAGCAGCGAAGCGTGGCGCTCCAAGAAGAACAAGTCGCGCTCCTTCGTGCGATGCTCAAGTCGATTGCGGACGCAGAGCTGCGCGACGTGATGCAACACGTGCTTCCGCCGCACTAAGACAGACTGCCGCGTGCAATGTATTTTGTACATATTGTCGGTGTGTATGGCATTGCTGTACAAGGGAGCTACGCAACGTAGCCGCCGCCGTCGTCGTCGTCGTCTTGGTACGGACTCAACGCGGCAAAGTTGAGTTTGGGCACGGTCTGCGGCACGCAGTAAGTCGCGGTCGTGCCGGGTAGTACGAGCGACACATCGTCTAGCGACACGACGATGCATGGGGCACCAACTGTAGCCAGGGTGTCTACCGTCTTCATGTCCATCCGGCATCGAAGCGGTGCCGACTTTGCCGAGCGGCTCAAAGCGAAGCACGTGCCGTAGCTGGTCGACTTCGTTCTGGAGCTCGACGCAGAGCTGCTTGAGCGCTTGGTTTTCGGTTCGCGCGAGGTAGACATCTACAAAATGCTCCTTGCATAAAGCATAGTCGATAGAGCTGGAGCTCACCCAAGGGGGCGCCGACGTCATCGGACGGCTCGACGTACGCCGTGTCAAAATGCTTGTTGAACTCGGTGCGGATCTTGAGCAAAATGCCTGCGTACGTCTACGCACGCACGGTGAGTAGGTTGTGGCGGCGGAAGAATGATCTTGGAAACGAACGCGGTCCTGCAAGATGACTTGGTCCAATAGGTCCCGGGCCACTTGGAGCCGCGCGCGCTGCTTCTGAGGCAACTACACGGGTTCAGGGTAAATACCAGTCTTTGCATCGGCTGCAGCGTACTTGGGCCATTTCGATTTCGCCAAGGCGCTCGGCGAGCTCCATTTCCAAGACGGTCGCCGACGACCGAGCAAACTTGTGTCGACGGCCCAGCGCCATTGAAGCGTACGACTTGTGCGATGCGAGGCCCGTCTTCTTGGCGTACTTGCAGGTCTCGACCGAGGCGGGCGGTGGAAGAGTTCCGAGGTCGACGACCGCAGCCGTGGTGGCGAGAGGAGTGTGGCTAGTAAGGTTATTGTTGCCAAAGTCGCTGGCGTCAATGATCTTTTGACGGATCGAGGACGCCGACCGACAGCGTCTAGCATTGCGTTGGCAACGAGCCGCGACGTCGTGGGTCGCACCGGAGGGGTGTCGCGGGCCCGGTCGATGGGGCTGGTGACTTCTCGGGCTCGTTGTTGCTACTGCGCGGCGCCGAGTCCCGCCGCGTGAAAACTGGCTTCTACGGGCATATATGATTGATTACCTTGGGGCATTCGGTGTAGGTGGCGAAGAGAGACCTTGCGCTGATCGAGGCCGAGCTGCTTGGTCAAGAGCGGCTTGGACCCAAGGTGTGTGCTCGACTAGCATAATGCAACGCGTACGGGACACGCAGCGCATGCAGCGCGCACCTGCCACTTGGACTTGGAGGGCAGGCTTGGACGCGGCTTGCTCGCGAGCATCGCTGCCTGTCTACGCAACTCAGAGGCGAAACGCTGTGCCCGATTTAGTGCGGTTGAAGACTACGGATGGCCGTTTCCTCGGGCCCTAGTAGTCTCCTCGGTACCGAAGCGGTTGCTCCTTCTTCTTCTTAACGTCTCCTCAACACCCTTGCCCCGTGTGCGATCGCCACCGTCGCCACAATTGACACCGCACCCAGCGAACTTTGCATCGACGAAGCGTCTTCTACGCTCGACAACCGCATCATGCGCTCCATTTGAGAGACATCCAGCCCCAATGAAAGCATCATGACCCTCGCCAGCTTTTCACTTGGCAACGACCTCTGATGTGCGTACTGGCGCCGACCACGGCCCCCATATCGACCTCAGCAAAAGCCACGTCCTCGCGTGTCGGTGGTCTGGCGCTTGACGGTTGTTGGCTTTTTCCAGTGGCCCTCTGTCGCCTTTCTGGACGGAAATGACCGATGCTTTGTTGAGCGACAAAGTAC